CCCAGCGGCACGGGGGACCCGCGGGACAGGGCGCGAAGGGAAAGGGGAAATTTAGGTTAGAGATCAGGAGGAAATTTTTTCCCGAGAGGGTGGTGAGACACTGGCACAGGTTGCCCAGGGAGGCGGTGGCTGCCCCAACCCTGGCAGTGTTCAAAGCCAGGCTGGATAAAGCCTTGAGCAACCTCATCTAGTGAAAGCTGTCCCTGCACATAGCAGAGAGGTTGGAACTCGGTGACTTCTAAGTTCCATTCCAACCCCTTAAATCCTATGACTCTATAAAAACAAACTCTGTACCCTCTATTTTAATATTAGAAACTAGGCACTGCTTTATTCACCATCCTGGAATCAAATCCCACAGCTTCTATTTTTACAGAACTATGCATATCCATTAGGTCGCCCAGGACTCATACATATATGCTAATTGTTTCTGATAAATCATTTAAGTAAGGCTTTTTTGAGGGAATCTCCCATTCCTTACATTTGCCCAATATAAACCTCATCCAGTTAACTTCTTCCCTTGGACTGTGCTTAATTAACAGTGATTGATATATGTTTTCTTCTCTTATCAGCAGTGCTTTTTTCACTTCTTTCCAAGGAATGTTTCCCCTAAAATACACATTAGTAATCTTTATACTAGATATATAGGATATGTCTCCTTAAAAGATACATCCTCAAAGCCCAGATTCCTGGCAATTGCCAACAGGTAGGAGAAGAGATGGGAGGATGGGGCAGGGGAAGATGATCGTGGAGGGGAAAGGGAGGGAAGCAAAGCAAAGTGGGGAAAGGAGAGAAGATAGGGAGGGGAGGTAGAAGAGAGGGGGAGCAGGGAGTGGAACAGAGCAGGGGCTAAGCACCACTTTGGTGTTTCAATAAGGCTGCACAGCTACACTTACCTCACTTAATTAGAAAATACATTTTAGACAAAAAAAAACCCCTACTTGATTTTAAACCTGCTTTGAAAAAACCCCCACAATAAATCCCAAGCCCAACACAAGTCCTAGAACCTGTAAAGCATTAATTTATTGTAAAAAATGTACAGCTTCAGGATCCAAAGTTGTAATAGTAGAAATTTTGTGTGTGTGTGTGAGGGAGAAGACAGCTTGTCTTCTCACCTAGTGAGGGTGTGAGGGAGAAGACAGCTTGAATTTCCATCCTGAGCATCTGTTGCTGGGGTCAGTATAAGCACCTGAAGTGCTCTTGAGAGGAAAGAGGCAGAGAGCACCAAGCAGAGGCGATGCCTGGGATGCAGCACTGGAGAACTCCGGCCGCAGTAGCTCTCACAGCGAGATCCAGCCCTGGCAATGACAACTGCAACATGACAGCAGTGCAAACACAGAGGCACTGTGTGAGATCATCAGTATTCCAGCACAGCAGAGCAAGATCCCCAGTGCAATTAGCAGACACAAAACCAAATCATCCTTCCACTGAGAAACAGCTCCTAGGGACCAATCTGGAAACAGCCCCCTGCAAAGACCAAAATGCACCACAGACAGCACATCTAAAAAAAGTTGAACATTTTATTGTCATTTAAGAGTACACCATTTGTGATCTTAGAAATACAGACTCCTTGCAAAGCACTGAAACACAGGTGCCTTCCAACTTCTAAAACCTACATTATTCTATGCCTTACAAACCCTTTTATATTAGCAATTCAAGTTTGGTCTTTGCTTCAACAAGTTCTTCACCAAAGATGCAACAACTTAGTTCTAGACTGTAAGACAACCAAGCCAAGGTTCAGATTCCACCCACCAGTGAGCTACCACAATCATTACTTTCAAGTACTGAGTCTATGGTGTTCTTGTACTTCACTGCCCATAAGGGACTTCGCCTTGGAAAATTTTAAGTTAGAGGATTTTCCAGTTAACCACCAACTGGTACTTCCATTACAGCATCTAGAAGCAAACAGATATTTTGCAAGTACTAGTGCTCATGAACAGGTTAAGTTTACACAAAACCCAGAGAGGCCTCCAGAAACATTCAAGGTTAAAATGAACAGTTGAAAAAAAAAAGAAAAAAAAAAGAAAAAAAAAAAAAATCTGTACACATTTTCAGTTATAACACAAGGGAACACTGGAGTAACAGTGTTTTGTGTCCTAGCTTCCATAGTGACAACTGTGCTAGTCCTAGTAGTACTCTACATGTTTCTCGCTTGCCCCTGTTTAAATTTTATACTGGCAATCTGAATATACAGCTGTACTTACAGGAAATATTAAACAATGCACAGCGTCTTAAGCAAGTTCCATGGCTGGTTTTGAGCAAACCATATAAAATAAGTGACAAAATAGTTTAAAATTGGTCCTTATACAGCTTGGAAGCACTAAATTTAAAAGACACACATTAACCAGCACGAATTAGTCTGCAGCTTTTTTTTTTTCTCCTTTTCTGTTTTCTGTTAAAGAGTGTGTTACAGTATCATGCATGAAAAGTAAGCTGCTGCTCTCAAGTGCAAACACGGAGTTTAGACTAAACACTTTCTCCTCAGGTTGTTACTCCTCCTGTCGTGAATTGTCCCGACATAACCAAGGATAGAAGCAGCTGACTAGCAAAACAACGTGAAGTTCATCTTTTATGTTGTGACCCATTCATAACGTAATGGAATACTTTGGAACTTTAGCATAAGGAAGGTTCAATAAACACTGCAAAGGACTTTTACATTCTTTGTTTTCATTTACATCTTTAGAAAGAAAATTCTATATTTTAACCTCACTAACTACTGAATTTTCATAAGGAGACTGTAGTATTGAAACAGTGCAAGACATTTGCAACTTCAGGAACATCCAACTACACTGCCCTTTCACCCGAACAATGATTAGCAGAATATTGCATCAGTTCTAGATAAACAAGACAGGACAAAAAAACCTCATTTTAGAAGAGCATTAGGATTCAAGAGGTCTTTCGTATTTAGTGAAAAGAATCCACACACAAATATGCACAAAGGACTCTAACACAGGACTTTACCACAACAAATGTAATCCAGCTGTAAGTCTGGACCTAGACTTTTTATTGGTATGAAGCCATATTTGTTCAGAGTCCACTATCAGATGCTCCATTATTAATGCTTCAACATTTGGGTATTTTGACACGTTAACATCAGAGCTCTGTCCTGTCAAGGCAGAGGACAAGATACAGCTGAAACAGCCCAGGTGGACCACAAGCTTCAGCAGTCCACTTAAGCTCTCAAACAATCCAGACACCAAATACTTGGCTTTCATCTTTGCATTACCCCACAAAGCATGGAGCCCTGTCCACTAATGCAATATTCCAAAGACCATTGCAACTAAGACTGTCAAGTCAGGTCTCAGTTGAAAGCTACCATCACCACCACCAGACATTGTTTCCTCTCCTCCACCCCCCCCACCAATGCCAAGGAAAAAAGTTCAGGAGACCACTATTTGGTGTGGAAAGCAAGTCAGTAGAGACTCCAAGTGTGGCTTGAAGAATCCTCAGTACCAAGCCGCTTTCCACACACACAAATTCAGTCCATCTTCTCTTTCTGGACCAGCTTGGGTGCATCTACAAAATCCTTGCCATTGTAAAGGATGATAGCAAAAGTTCCAAAGCTTGCGCTTCCCCAGAAAAGCACATAGGCCAGTGTCTCAGTCCACGTATCACCTGTGAAGAAGAGTCAGATAAACATCTTAGCTCATTATCTCCAAATATCACAGAGTTTTATTTTAGCACAAAAGAAAAGTATTTCACGCCCTCCCTCAGATCTGTTGTCAAATAAAGTCCAAAGTCTTTCACAGGTACTGCAGGTTTTCCTTTTTCTATTTCCTTACCTAGGAAAACCATGTTTGCCATACAGTTCTTGGAACACTTAGAACAGACATCTATGGAAGTCAGTCAACTCTACTGGCACCAACGCTAGAAAATTCAAGGCAAAAGCAGAAGGCAAAAACCTTCAGCACTACCAACAGATTTATATCACGGGAACAACCATCAGAACAGGCTTGTGTCTATACCTGACTGCTCTGAACTGTCTTTCTGCCCAAAATTAGACAGGTATTCCTCTGGGGGTTCATCCAGCCTACAATAAAGCTAAATGGCTACTCAGGTGCAACTAAATTTGGGAACAATTAACCACCCTTTAAGTGACTTCTACAGAAGCTTTAACAATGTTTTCTCTAGTACCTCAGTCTTTTCCACATCAGTGATACAATGCTAACTCTCAGCCCTCCAGAGCCATGCTCAAACACCTTTTAGAACGACTGAGCAGCAGTTTAATACTGAATAGTTACTGGCAATCATTTATAGCAAGTCCATACAGAAAAAATGTTAGAAAATTAAACTCAATAGTGACTTACCAGCCATTAGCAAACAAATAATGCACATGGAGAAAGCAACCACCATAATAATAGGCAACTGAGGAAAGAGAAGAAGAAGAATCACTTTTTATAGCAGCACATATACTCCTTACTTCCCTTTAATTGTACTGCAAAGCTGTTTACTTGCTGTGCAATGATGTTGCTTTAATACTCAATTCACCTGCTGTCAGGTACAAACAAAAGTTTGGATAGCTCCAGAATTTGGAAGTGTGTGTTCAATTACTATATAGTAAAGTTCACCTTATGTGTACTAACAGAGACGTTGAGGTTTGTGTTTTGTTTAAAACCCAAACCAGCACCAGGTGCTAGTGAAACCCACCAAGTCCCCAGATCCCATTTCACAAAGCAAAAGGGAGAGGGTGAAAAAATAAAAGGGTTTTTTTGTGTGTTACAGTCTATACTTCCGCATGAAGTGTGAGAAAAGACCTGCAAAAGATTCTTTTGCAGAAGGAAAAAGTCACTGATGGTCACTAGCAGAAATCACCCTCTCCACTTGATGCAGCAGATTTTAAAAAAGCAAGCAGCAGTTTTTCCAATACCTCAGGGACACTCCATTTTCTGCCAAGGGAACAGTCTGGGTTTATTCCTATAAGCAGGTGTCATAGAAACACAACCAGATTTAAGGGATGCTTCATGACTCAACAGACAAGTCCTACTTAGTCACGTGAAGCGAGGGACTAAAGGGTTGTGTTTCTCCAATTGCAAATAAAGTCTCCATACTCACAGCTAAGAACTTCCAATCTTTCTTGTCATGTAGAGGACTAGCAGGTTCTACTTCATCCACTGAATAATTCCCAAGGAAAAGATCAATTGCATCCTGGAAGAGAAAGGGAAGGCAAGAGTTAAAATGCACAGCAATGTTTATCAGATACACTTCCCCACAGTTAAAAGCTTAACCTACTTGTCTAAATCCATCAGAAAAGTTATTTTTGTAGTAACGTATCAATGAGTTCCAGCCATCCATTATTAAGCCCCACTGAGTTCTCTTCCCAGTTCTGAAAAAGTTGTGAAAAACAGTTAATACATTTATAGATTGAGGAAGATAATTTCAGATTTACAGTTCTGTCATGTTTGAACATGTATCATGTTAAACTAATACCTGCCTGGGAATGTATTTATCTAGTGCTGGCTCTGCATTACCACATACATGTATAACAAAGTTTGAAATTAAAATTACACCTCTCTCCAACATACAAAATAAATATGCCTCTTGACAGCAGTTTCTTGGTTTTATTTCCAGATAGCCTTTTCTCCTTTCATATAAACAGAGTGAAGAATGGTGTTCTGTAGATTTTAGTCTGACGTTTTACCATTGCCAAACTTATGGCCTAAGCCCCAAATTAATAATCTTCTTGGATATGAAGATTTATAAATAATCCCAAACACCCCAAACCCCAGAAGGCCTTTACAAGAAAGGCTGACTTGCCTTGTGTAATCAGTCTTTAAGGCACCAGTTCCAGCATATTGTTTGGCACAAGCATTAGCATTATCAGCCCATGCTGTGAATAGGAAAACATTAAGAAATATTAAGGAAGTTATGTACTCTGTTTGGACAAAAGTCATTGTTGGCACTCTATAAACAGCCTACCATTTTTGTAGATTTTCTCAAAGTCTGCTTGCTCTTCAATCCTCTGTCCCACATGCAGAACACCTAGCCTCTGAAACAGAGCAGATTGAGGCTCATTAGTAGTTTGAAAGAAAAATTAAGATTTGCTTTCAGAAGAAGCTGTATTTATTAATCTTGAGTCTGGCCAAAGCATCTCAAGTAAGCAGTATAGTAGTTCAGGTATGCAAGCTCTTACTGCAGTGTTAAAATTACATTTCTGTTCCAAAATAAGTCTCACTTCTCTTCCAGCTTGTTAAACAAGAATAAAACATTTACCTGAAGCTGGGCCTGAAGAGATCTGCGTGCTAACAAGCTCTGGATCACATTAGTCCGATCAAGGCAGTCCATGCAGTTACTGCGGAATATTCCTTCAATTTTACCATCCGAATCCACTAGAAAATAACTAACACACACAACACACCTAAGTATTTAGAGATAACAGTCCATATAAACCACATGTTTTCAGAAATGTAAACCACAACACACCTATCCTGAGCATATGGAGAGCTCTTAGCCATGTGTCTTTGAATGTTGATGTCTCCCTGAATTCTTCCCCTCCCATACTGTAAAACAGCATCGATAGGTGAAGATTTAGTAATCTCAGGGCAGTATTCACTCTCACTATTTAGAAAGCCAAGCAGCAATATTGAGTTTAAGTCACCAGGAAGAGCAGCTCCTGGTGCAAAAAACCTGACAAAAATCAGTACCTTTTTTCCCAGCTATTTTAGTGCCCGAGCTCCACAGATATCAAGACGTTTAGCAGAACGTAACAGCAGGTGTAACCAGGTTTGAATACACCTGGTCACCAGGTTCACTCCAGCCAGCAATGCATAAAAGCTCACACGAGTTGTCATGCACACTTCTTCCAGAAAGGTATTCAGACTCCTTAAGGCCAAAACTGAAAATTCTGCTACTGTCACATACTATTCTCTCCATGATGTGATCATCTAGGGGAACCAAATGTTCCCTCTTGCAACTGCATATGCTAATTGTTACCTCAATCTTTTTAATCAACTAAACCAGGTGTTTCCAGTAGTTGATAACACAGCTCATTTTAAATACTGAATCGCATGCAAATATTCCAATACTGAGCTGGTAAAACAAATATGCTAATCCAGTTATCACCTGGATGTGTGAATGGGACAGAACTACACTTGTCCTGCCACAGCATGAAACCTCTAGCTGTCTAAAGATTTACTGATCATATTCTACAGATTAAGTTACTCCATTATGTCACAATGAACTCTGAATGTACACTAACATGTGATCCACTGTTACCAGAGAGCATTTTAAGATTTTAAGTCGAGTTATGCAGTACTACAATCAACAGCCTTAGAAGCATATGAATTTACTTTGTTCAACTTTTTGTTGTCCTTTTAGAAGCTATTTTCATCATTCTTGAAGAATTAGTTTTGCTAAACCAAGTTTTACATTGTTGTACGATTAAAGAATACAATGTCACCTGTGAAATCTTCATTTTCTCCCTACTCCCCCCAAAGCTTTGCCTAGAACTGATATTAGAATAACAAACTATGTTATAGACAGGAACATCTACTCGTAAGTGCTGTACCTCCTATAGAAGCACTCAAAAGTGTTTTAAAAACACCTCCCCAAACCTAGCTGTTCTCTGACAGATCTTTCACAACTGGATTTAACCTGCAGGAAATAGTGTTGTTTAGCTCCCTTGGGGTTGCAGAACTGTTTCCTAAGTTCAGAACTTAACACTTTTCTGTGCCTATTTAAGCAATAGCCACCCTAGATGAAATATAAAGGCAAGGTAGATGCAGCATAATCTTGAGGAAGAGTCTTTGATTTTGTATCTGGGTTTGGAGACACGTGGCCTTTTTTCTCCCCTCTGTTTTTCTTCATTTCAAAGCAACTCGGTTCCTTTGTAAGCCTCCAATGGCAGGTGCCAGCAAACACGTTATGGGATCTAGTATTAAATCTCAGAATGGAGGATCCTTATTGCATAGGAAAACACAGCAATCTTACTTCTCCTTATTTGAAGTGCTCAAAGCCAATTTATTCTTCAGACCTTTGTATGTTTTTAAGGCTTTATTTTGTGGTGGACAGAGAATATCCACTGTCATCTGATTAATGTATACTATTCCCACAGCCTTCATCTCAGGCAAGAGATTTTTGTGAACAAGACTCCTGTTCTACTCCACAGCTCACCTAATTTTATTTTGTTAGGACAGAATATCCCACTGCCAGTTTTACAATGTCTTTGTACTTTAGGCACAAGACTTCAGAAACAGGAAGGAAGCAATCAGAAAAGCAGAACAAAGTAAACCATTTCCCTAGCAAACTACAGGTCTACAGGTAGCAAAGACCAAGAAGTGCTTAAAAGCAACACACTTGTGGGAATAAAGGATTTAAATTGATTTGGACATTTAGTCTATGTTTATATGACTGACAAAAATGAGAGTTTGTCTCCTTGCAGGTTACTTACATTAGCAACAGTTAACCAGTGCCAAAAATTGGTGACAACAATGTGTGTTAGAAAAACCAGTTTTGCATGTGCCTGTGAAAGGAGCAATGAGTGTCTGACACTGTGTGGTAGAACAGTTTGCTGTCAATGACACCTAGAATTACTGTTGGATGGAAAAAATGTCATCTAAGGAGACTTCTTCAAAAAATAGCTTCAGCTGTATGCACACTTTTTTTTTTTTCCTCACTTTTTACCCACCCTTAAAGTTGTCACAACTCAAGAGTTGCTACAATTCTCAGAACTACTTTACTAAGACATAACAAGGGCTCTACCTCTTAGCCCCCACCAGGTCTCTAACCCTGCAGGTGGTATCAGGAAGAGATCAGAGATATGCAAACACTAACGAACACAAATGCATCTTCTTCACAGAAGATCATAGGTCTGTCTTACTGTGCCCTTAACACAAGGCAACCATGAGGAAGTGATCTAATTCTAACAGTACAGAAGTGAAAGTACTGCAGAGCCTTACCTAAACTCATCTTGCTGGTCTGCTAGTTTATCCATCAGAATCTGGAGTCGATCCCACCTCATCCGACTGCACTCTTTATGGAAGTCAAACGCCACGTATCTGTTCAGAGAGAAGCACCTTTTCAGGTTACATGTGTACTGCAGTGAAGGTTGCAGAAAACCCTGTGGCAAAGGGTTGATCTGTAAAACACAATACTTGCTTTTCTTTAGAGACTGCTTCCAGCAAATCTGTGGATTTTGTCAGTGCTCTGTAACCTTCCTGCAGCTGTGCCCTTAGTGACACTCAGATTTCATTACAAGATGCCACCAGTCTGGCGAAGCAGCCATTCAATTCCAAGTTACTCATTCTATGTTCTAGCTAGTGTTTTTCCTCCAGAAAGTACAGAAGGTATATGAATCTTATTTCATCTCATTCCTCTCCTCCCCATCAGAATTCTTTTGCCCCTCTCTCTTCCAAGCAACTGCATTGGGAACTTCAGTTCACTTTGAACAGGTGTTGAAATGCAACATTCTTGGCTGGCATAATTCCCTTGATAGCTCTCTAGCAACCCAAAACAGGTACTGTTGCAACAGTTAACTCTATCATAAGAAAATTAAACAGCTACTGACTTGGAACAAGATTTTAACAGCCAATTCATTTATGGTAAGAAGTACTCTAAATAGAGTGTGGGGCTTGATTGAACATTTGTATGTGTATATTTGCTGTGAATTACAGGGCATTACATTTCTTCCCCCAAGCATTTATAATCCCAAAGTTATTATTCGACAACATTTCAGGACTGTTTGCATGAAGAAAGACGGTATACACACACTGAAACAAGTATTGAAGACTCAGTTTTCAGTCTGGCAGGTAAACACCATCAAAACCAACTAACTTTGGTAGCAATGATGAAATGGGGCTGCCAAACATTGCTTTTGAACATACACAGAACATCACCAAAACACATCCTGACATAATTTTACATCTTGGTTTCCACCAGATAGCTTTATAGCAAAGACGCACAGAATTCCACAAACTTTGTGGAATTCAAGCTAAGGTATCACCACCAGCCTAGGTGTGAGAATGAGCAAAGAGCCCACCATAGAAGTGGTGGTCTTCAATAAGAACAAAATAAGAGTACCCATCCACACACCAGTAAGACACAAACATGCCCCCTGAGGGTAGCAAAAGCAGCAGAGAGAAATGAAACAGGTATCTGTAACTATCCTGGAGAAGGCAGCAAGTATGACATCATACAAGCAGAAAGAAGCTTGGAAAAATTCAAAGTATGTCAGGATTTATAAGGGCATCTTGATTATATGCAGCATTTTCTTAGTTACTCTTAAAAGTGAATCCTTATTAAAACAGGATGCCTTTTGGCTTACAGGTAGGATTTCTGCCCTTTGACACATATGAGTAACAAATACAGTGCAGTAATTTCAAGGATAAGGTAGTGGCAAGTATCTGTGGGAGTTGGATGCTATCCTTGCCTCCAGAAGTTAGTGAAAGCAAGCACAGACAGATCGTAAAATTGTGTACTGCACTCAGTATTCCCACAAAGAGATGGCATTTCTCATGATTAAAGTGCATTCTCCATTCTCTTAGCCCATTGTTACACTGAGCTTCAGGCATCTAAACTACACGTTCCCCTTACTGTTCCCTCCTTTATCTCAATTTTTGCTCACACTCAGCACTCCCTTACTAAGTTAGCAGTGTCAGAAGCTAGTTCTACAGGGCATGATTTTCTTTTTGCTAAAATGCAGAAGATCTCCACAGCTCTCACTGCATACTATGACTCCAATACTGTCCTCTGAATTTCTGTCTTTGTTCTGCCTGTCTCCTCCTTGTCCTACATGTGCTTCACAGTCTCAATTCTGCTTAGAATTGTAGGGCCATGGGTCACATGAAGTTACTTCATAAAAATAAAATGCAAACAAATGAGAGGGTTGGTAAAGGCCCCCAAAGAACTGACCACCCCGTGGGTCTCAGAGACAGTGCTTAACTTGTGACATGAAATGGTATGTTTTGTGTCACATGTACCTGACCATTCCATTTGCCATGCTGGTTACCATTTTCGCAAACGTTTGCTCAAGAGGCTTCTCTGAACCTTTTTGGTTAACCTGGAAAAAGGGGAATAAAGAAAAGAAAAAAGACAGTATTGATCAAAAGCCTGCTTAAAAGAACAACAGCTTTTTCAGGAAGAACAAGTGAGAGCATACCAAATTGACAATCATTTGCTTTCCATAGCTAATTATTTGCGAGTCAAAATGTCTTTGGAAGCCATCCATCTGGAAGAGAAAGGAAATGTGTTGACTGATGTACACCACTATTAAGATCTATGCTTCACAAGGAATCTCCATTATCATATTTCTGATGATACCACACACAGGTGGTTTTACAACTAAGAAAAGTGTTTGATGTTCTCTTTTGTGCCAATATATTTCTACTTTGATCCCTCCAGTCCACTTAGATCTCCTTATTAAACATGCTACACATAAGGAGTATTGTACAGCTACTCAAACTGCTGCAAATAAGATCCAAAGAGAAACTACTCCCACTGATGTCTGGGTCTTTTAAATTCATCTTAAGGAGCACAAAGCTTCTTGCTACTACTTCTAAAACATAAAGCTCAATCCAGTATTGCTGATTTTTATTCTTCTGATTACAGTTTGTTACCCTATCGCCTCAATATCAGCCCAGAAATATATTAGAACCCCAAGACACAAACATTCACATACATGATTTACTGACTTGCTGATCTGTGGCTTTGGTTTATACTTGAGGTTTGGTCTTTGAGACCAGAAAAAAGGAATTGATCCACGGGTCTGCAAAAGAATGGAACTGGTTTTAAACAACAGAACTTACAAACTCACTTGAGATTTAAAAACAGAGCAGGCTGGCTTTGTTTATTTGTGAGCATGCATATCATGTATGCAATCTATACTGAAAGACAGAGATATAAATCTATAGATCTTAAGCCACTGAGCAGTTCCACACAGTGACTTTACCTGAACGAACGATGCTTTGCTTCCCTTGTAATGCACAATTTGTTCTGTTTCAACAAAGTTTGCAGCATGCCCTTCTGAATCAATGCCTGTGTAGAAAAAAGACCTTGTTAACTAGCTCAGGCTGCCTGCAGAACAGTGACAACACATCAGCAAAGCCTTCCCAACCTTGTCTTTAAGTCCTCACAGAAATCCTGATGATAGCACAAAGCTGCCTGAAGATGTTAAATTGAACACACCTTTGGTAAAAGTTTAACATGATCTGCACCAAATTTAACTTGAAGCAGCACAGTTCTCCTTGACACATTTTGATATTTCTAGCACTACAAATTTTATACAAAATAAAATACCAGTGCTCTGATGCTGAAATACTCACTATTCAATACCAACAGCACTGCAGAAACTGATTAATTTCTTCAAGAGGACATATGTTGGGATTGGGAACAGAGAAGGTAGTTTAAATCCATTTCCTTGTTCACTTTTTATTTGGAACAATTAGAGAACACCACTCAGTGCTCCCTTGCCAGCACCAGTGATGATGCTCTTAGCCGGATTTACAGCTAGGCCAAAAAGGCTATTACACACTTGTATTTTACTTCCATAAAAATAGTAATGTGTTACAAACCACTATGAAACTTTTGTAGCTGTCTATAGGAGGAATAAAGAACAATCAGTTTTAATAAATTATAAGAACATGCTGCAGTTCATAACAGAGGTTCCTAGTATTTTCATTGGAGTAAGGATTTCTTGAGACAAACTAAGCATGTTTTGTTGTACAAGACATTATACAGCAATTACTCTGGAAGTAACATGTACACATGGAATTCATAGTACTTTTGATTTTCTATTTTACCTCTTACATAGTAGCGTACACCAGCCCTGAAACAGCTTCTTCTGGAAACAAGCAGCCAGTCAAAACACTTGCCATTGATAGAGCAAGAGTGCATAGTGATAACTGATGAACAGCACTAAGGAAAAACCCCCAACATTTCATTAGGGTATTTTTTATGTATCAAGAGGTAGGAAACATCAAGGAACCAAGTGATTACATTCAAAGAACTTTATAAACATTTCTTACACTAACACAGTTGGAAGTTCCTACAAGGAAGCTGGAGAGGGACTGTTTGTTAGGAACTGCACTAATAGGACAAGGAGCAATGGATATAAATTCAAAGAGGGGAAATTTATATCAGATATTAGGAGGAAAGGTTTTTCCGGTGAGGGTGGTAAGACACTGGCACAGGTTTTCCAGAAAGGTAGTGGATGTCCCAACCCTGGCAGTGTTCAAAGCCAGGTTGGAAAAGGCCTTGTGTAACCTGGTCTGGTGGGAGGTGTCCCTGCCCATGGTTGGTACTAGATGACCTGTAAGGTCCATTCCAACTCCTTAACATACTATGATGCTATGAACAGTTGAATATTAAACTTGAGAGACAGTAACAATATTGGGATCCGCATGCACACCACAAACAGGCATCCTACAGCAATGTCACTGATGAGCAAACATTAAAACTGCTTTAAGTTTGAGAAAATCTGATTCTAAAGAAGATTAACCTGGGTCTTATGGTCCCAGTTAAAAAAAATAAAATCATTTAAACGGACTGACATTTGAAATTCTATTCAGTACTGCATCCATCTCATCCAGAATTTTATTAAACTACCTTAACGTTTTCTTGTGCCTATTGTCTTTAACAAAAAATACCACTACAAAACTTTTTTTCTAGGCTTTTAGAAGTGTGAATATCTTGAGGTGTTATACCTTGCACCTGTAAATGCATTTGCAAAGTGCAAATTTTCTCCAGGTAGACTCCCCAGCTTTCATCCTTTGCCCCTACTGAAACCTGCAACTTTAAGAAGCAAGCAAAAGATCAGAAGGGCCAATTTTTGAAAGCTACAGCAGTCTTCTATTCTATAAGGAATCTAGATACTTTGTCTCAAGGTTGGTAAAGTAAATGATCTATCTTCTTTTTTAACCCAGCAAATTTTACAGTGAAATTTAGATTCTACAGTTATGACTCAAATGGGACATAAAGCAGCTCCGTCACATGTGAGCACCTAAGCTATGTTAACGAGCACACTGATTGCACACAACGAACATTTTGATTTGTGCATGTATTTCTGCCAGTACTGTCTGTAAGGAACTAAGAAAATCTAACACAAATTGTCCCCACTCACAATGTCCTCACAATTCACAAATTAAGGCTGAAAAATACCTATTCCTCTGCTTTCCTGGAAAATTACTGCCAGGTCTTACACCCTTTAATTCAATATTTGTACAGCCAACAGTTTTCTGCAAGAAAGGTTACCTCTAACCTTAGCTGATTGGCAATAATCAGCCTATTTTATGTCTTCAATCTCTGTCCTCGTGTCCTCAACAACTTGCTATTGGCAACTTACACACACAAAAAAGGAAAAGACATAATTTGTTCTTTAGAAGGGCTTTTTTGGTTTTGGTTTAGGTTTTTTTATTTTATTTTATTTTGAACAGCAAGGGCAATACAGTTTAGGGCCTTATGTGATCAAAGTCCCAGCTACCCAAGGAAGTCCATTATTTCTCATCACTGCAAGATGAGAATCCCAGTCCACACAGCTGAACAAAGTATATTGAGGTTTACATGAGGAAAAAGAAATGCATCTTTGATTTTACTGAAATAACTGCTTAGGGTAACTCCTAAGTTCTTGCTTAGGGCACTTCCTAGCATTTTTATCACTAGAAATCCAGTTTCTTCACATTCCTGGGTTCTCTAAGGTGCTTGATTAGATTAGAATTACAGCAAAACATACCTTACTTATGCTAATTATTTGTATAGTGAAAACAGGACAGAGCAAGGTGTTAATTGCAGTCTGCAATTGTTAATTGCAATTCACCCAGGACCAGCAGGATAGCGATTAGGTTGTTTTGACAGCTCTGTTTCATTATCTTTCCTTGCCTCTCCGCCTACACCCACAATATTTTCCATTACATGAAGTCACAGGAAAGGAGGACTGGAGATCTGCCAGCTGCTGACAGTCCTACCAGATCAACCAATTCCATCTGGAAGTCGCTCCCTGCACACACCTGAGGGCCTTTGCAATGGATGAACAAAGGAGAATGTGGCATGAGTTGCTCTATCTAGTCTTGCCAGTCCTTTTCACGCTGCCAGGCCAGGAGCAACTACCCAGGACTTACTGCTGATGGCACACTGCATGAGGCACACTGCCTCCAGAGAGCATTTGGCTTACTTGCAGCATACAGCCCTTCTCAGAAATAAACTCATCGCTGCTTTGCTAAAAAGGCTGTTACCCAAAGCACTGGTGCTGGAAAAGCAGCTGCCTAGGAGAAGCATCCCAGGAGCTTTCAGCAGAACTTCTGATCCTTCTATTCATCAACAAGAACATCCATAATCGCTCCTTCAAGTCCAAACTGTTCTCCCTTATTTTATATCCAAACTAAATGCATCCTTATAGCAAGACAGAAAAGTACTAAGGCTGATATAAAACCATTTGCCATATCAATCCTAACCTTCAATCCCACTGAAAGAGAGTTATGCAAACCACACCTGTAAAATTAAGTATATTAAGCCGTAAAAGCAGAATATTCAAGGGAGTGAACATATCAGTGGGCTACCAAACAACATGTAATGCTCACATATGAGCAAACTATAACTCAATTCTGACGTTGCCAACTATCACAGAGCACAATGTAGCAATAGAGCAGCCTCACCAGAACCATTTCACTGTTGGACTACCCATATTCAGCACTGAGTTTTACAACATGAAAGGATACATCCATGCATCACTGGCGTAGCAAACCTATGGATCTGAAACACACAAGTCATACATGTTAAAAGCATTAAACACTAGCAGCCAAAAAAAATGTTTTGTGGTAGTTTCATATACTTTATATCCTTTACTTTTTGTTTAGGGTGCAGTAATTCGGAGAAAAAAAGTTCAAGACAAACAGCAATATATGTAATCCTTATTAGCAGGAAGGAAAAAGTGAAAGTCTAATCCTAATTAAGCAGCCTCGACAAAAAGCAAGCTGCTTTGTCCTCCTATACATAGCATTACTCTTCTGCAAACATGCCAGAGATAAAGCAGTACATGCTGAAAACCTTTTGACATGGTATTTACTTTACCTCCATAGTAGGATGTATGAAGATAGCAGTTAATATCACAGGGCTTCAGTAAGAAATACTTTTATGTGATTAATACTAAAAATCCTTGTTCCAGGGGTTTTCCTCACCCTGCCACTCCTGCGTAACTTGGCCTTTCACTAAAACTTTTAACATTTTCTAATACTAAAAGTCAGACATCCCACACCTCATTACCTAAAATTGTTCCTGCAGTAAACCACCTGTAGTCAATATTAGGCCATACTTCCCCTCACATATCAGTTAGCTCCCTTTTCAGCTTCTGTATCTCACCTCCTACGTCTGTTTTCACTAACCAGCCACATTTGGCTTTCCTTGCTGTTCCCACCACAGCTTCTCGCTCATTTCCCAAGCTTTGTTTGCATAGCACTATCTAAACCTTATACCCAGTCATCTGCCTGCAGAATATGCACAACAGCCCTTTGCCAAAACATCTCTGCATTCCAGAGGCACTGCACGATCCAGCCTTTGGGAACAGTGCTGTCTAATGGAACAGCACATCTCCACAGGTTACCGAGACAGAAATAGCAGCAGTGCGTCATTCGCCTCGATAAATGCAAAGCACTGATGGAGAGAAGAGGCTGCTGCAGCACAGACAATTCAAGCAGTTTAACACACATCTGATGTCTCCAGTAGGAAGGAGCTTAGATCAGTCTGGCCATTAAGGTATACAGTCGTGGCTTATGGTCAGGCACTTGTATTTGCTGGACTAAGTGAACTCGAGGCTTACACTGTGCTGGTCTTCATTTGAAACTGGAAGAATCTAAACTGTCAGTCTTACTCTTTGTTACCTGCTTTATGACCTTATTCACTAGGCAAATGGAATATAAACTGCACTCATGGAGAAAGAGGTGAGAGTCTTGGGGAAAAAAAAGGGACAAGCTGAACCTTTCCTGTACCTGAAGATAAATGAGTAGCTAAACTTCAAAATACTTGAGAAGCATATGCTGTGCAGTGTAACTTCCTCTTTGGTTTACATGAGCATGTATCTGCACAGCACAGTATCTAGATTCTTTAGAGTGGTCAGGCACTGGAATAGGTTGCCCAGGGAAGTGGTGGAGTCACCATCCCTGGAAGCATTTGAGAGGCATCTGGACCTGGCACTGGAAGATACGGTTTAGGGGTTACGGCAGAGTGACAGGTTAATGGTTGGACTTGATGACCTTAAAGGTCTCTTCCAGGCTTGATGATTCCATGATTCAAAGGCAGACACTTGCAAAAGTCAGCTTCCTAGATGTACTACTGACAACACTGACATCATGTTGGAAGTTTGAAAGCAAAAGTCTCACTGTACTAAACTAGAAGATAAATAGCCACTTTATACTTTATATTCTGTCTGAAAGAAGAGACAGAATTACAGGAAACTGTTGCAAACATATAGTAAAAGTATCCTTGTTATCTATTAATACAATCATTCCAAAGTGTTTACCTCTGGCTGAGCAGCAAACTCTCTAAGAAGGTGTCCATTCCATACAAACCGTGGATCTGCCTGCAGCAAGAAAAGAACATGATACAATGCTTTGGTGCCTCTATGTTGGGGTTGTTTCCTTCTACAAATACTGTTAAAAAAACCAAAAGACACAGATATAAAAGAAAAAACAACAAAGCACCCACACACCAACCACAGGCCAGGCTTCTCTTGCAGAGATAAACTGGAGGTCTCCAAAATTGCCACCACCCTTTTGCTAAGCCATTACACTGCAGCCACAGGAGTATGAAATTACATTGAAAAAATTTTAACCATCTAAGATCTGAATTTACTTGAAACTGATGTCTTTTTTCTACTGTACTTTGCCTCTCAAACAACCTCCTGAAGTACCACAATTTTAAGGCAAACCAATCCTTTCATGCCCACAACTGCTCTCCCTGGCAAGAGCACTACCAGAGCAGCATGTGATGATGCAGAACTGTTCCCAAATATAATTTTTTCCAGTATTAAAAAAGTGTATATAAAATCTTATAACTTCCCCAGCTTAAATACTTCCAGTAACTAAGACACACCAACTCCTGACGCCACTGCCAACTCCTTGGCAAACAAAAACTGCTATGGACATACAAGGTTCACAATAGGTTTTACGAGGTTTTGGAGTATAGTAAGTTACCAGACTAAGGATTCTGGAACTCTGGAAACACAGGAGAATTTCTAGCTCAAATTGCATTTGTCTGTTGTCTTTGAGACAAAAGTAGCATATTAAACTCATTCTTCAAACATAAGGAATTGGTATACTTCAGACAGAATACAACATCCAAGACCAACAGCCATAAACCCCACAGTTCTATTCCACATTATTCTGGAAAAGAATATGGAGCCAACTGCTGCTTGTTCCACTTTGGATTACTCCTTTGACCTGGAATCAGATGGGAAATTACTTGCTTTCTCTCACTTTTTTCTGCTTAGTTCCCTCTTATGGCAATGAGAAGAGTTCAATATTAAAATCAGAGGTGAATTGGCAAACTGTTTTGGATTTTTTAAATCCATTTAAAGCACACTGCACAAAGTACTTCTAACTGTCTGATCTAGAAGTCTGACATCACATTGGAACAGATTTCTAGAACATCATGTTGCTCAAGCTATGGGACTTAAGGAAGGGCAAACTATTATGCTCAGCCACAACCCCTAATAGTTTGGCTAACACACTGACATCATTTAAACATCATCTGCATAAAGTAAACTTAAGCCACGCAAAACTGACTGACAGTGTCCAAGACACAGATAACTAAGCAAAATGAAATCCTTACCCTCTCTAGGAGGCTCATTTCCTGGAACTCTGGGCTCGTGTTGGCTAAGCGCTGCAGAGTGTGTGTTAGGTCGTAGCTTGTTGAGAAGTAAAACCCATCCACGCTCAAGACATGGTTAAGCATTGATAAAAATACTTTGTTGTCCTGCAACTGTTGAGATGAGAAAAGAGGACAGAAGAGAACTCTCATGTTATCATCCAAGTATTTTATTCTATTAAGCTACCACTACTTTTTGAAGTGATGAGATGAATTTTGCTAGTGCGCTAGCAATACATGACATCATCCAGGGATTACCATACAAGAAGGAAACCATGAGTTTGCAATTCTGATACCAGTTCACTGATAACTTGCAGCTAGCACACTGCAACCAAAGTCTGCAAGAACAGTGGAGAGCAGAGAACAGTATTCCTGTGAGGTAAATAGCTACTGATACTGAACTAATATTAACAAAATCCAAGAAAAAAGGAAGCTATTACCTTCCCTGAGAACTGTTCAGTAAAAAACCCCCAAAACAAACAAACAAAAAAACCAGCTCCATTCATTAGACACCCTCATCTGCTCTTTATCAGTCCAGTACATGTGTTTTAAACAATCTCCCAAAAAAAGAACCCCAAACAATTCTTCCTTGCTAACTGAGCAACTGAGCAAGACAGAAAAAATGACAGCAATGCAGCTTATAGCAAGCATAAGAATGATTGGCCATCTTTAAAAGAGCAAAAATACACATCCGTAAACTGTGGATGATATTCTAAGTTGCACAATGCCAGTTCATCATCTTGAATGCCACAATTTTATAGCCATCTATACCCATTACTACATCAATTCTAGCAGCCTGAACAAAGCAGAAAAAAAGGTATAGTTCAAAGAGCTTCTTTAAAAAAAAATCATATCAGTTAGGTCCTGTGGTAATAGACATTAACATAAGGAACCATTCCTCCACACTCCTCTAATCAATGCACCTACCTGAATATCAGTTAAGTGCAGCATGGTCTTTTTGTAGGAGAGGATGTCAAAGTCTGTTGCTTTCCAGATTGCATGACTGAAAATCTCACCTACTTTTTTCTTTTTTGTTATTACAATAAGATATGTGCCTGTGAACCAGAAAGAATAAAGATTTAAAAAATAAAAATAGCAGATGCACAAATTAAGAAAGCAGCTTATAACCATACCAGAAAGATTAAACCCATAGGAAA